GGGGGAAGAGCCGCCTCACCCCAGAGAGCAGGGCCTGGGCATTAGTCACCCCCAGGGCAGTGGAGGGTCCAGGGCTTTTCAGGACAGCCGGGCTCAATGGGGGGAGTCCAGCTCTGGCTTCTGGGGTCACTGGGAGGGGCAGCACAGGGCAGAGGCTGGTGCCCAAGGAGGGGCTGCGCTGATCAGCTGCCCCGACACAAAGCGCAGCCCCTGCCTGCAAAGCCCCCTGCCTGCAAACTGTGCCCATAGTGAGAAGTGAGGGGGGGGTCCGACCATCCCATTGCTTAAAGGGGCAGGACACAGCCCCTCGTCCTTCTGATCCAGTGCCCCTGGGGCGCCTCACCGCTCAGTGGGCAGGTTTGGGGCTCTGCCTGTCGTGGTCACTGGGGGTTTGGTGGGTGACTTGAGCTACAAGCTCAGGAAGATGTTTTTAGTCTCCACTTGAAACCTCACCGTGTTTGAAAGGTCGTTTTGCTCTCTCCAGTGCAGAGGGCAGCGTGTCTGGTGGGGGAAAGGAGCAGAGAGGTGAGACTTCAGGAGTCCGTATTGCCCACGACATCCCTAATCTGAACACACAGTCCAGTCCCGGGTTTTCATTATAGCAGAGATGCAGTTGGGGTACGTCTACACTGTAGAGAAGGTCGAGGCTGCTGCATTCAATTTTCCAGGGTTTGAATTAGCAGTTGAGTGAAGACAGCTAATCGCACTGAGGGGGTAGCTTCTGTTGGTGCCGGTAGCTCTCACTGCACGAGGAGTAAGGGAAGTCGGAGGCAGAGAGCTGTTCCCACCACTGCCTGCTAGGTGGACAGCGCCAACAGCCGAGTTCCGCTAAATTGACTGCAGCTACGCAATGAACACATCTGAAGTTGCACAGTTTGATTCAACTTTATCCCACAGTGTCGATGTATCCTCAGGTTTGAATATAAAAAGGTTTGAAGCCTCCTACTTCCTCTCTCACTCAGGCCTCTCCCAGCAATGGAACCAAACTCCCTGCAGCCTCACAGCCAGCCCAGGACAATCTGTACAGAGATTCGCTTTCTCCTCAACATCCCTTCCCCCACTACAGACTCCACTGGGTTTGGCTCATTCACAGCCTAGGCCCAGATCCTGCCAAGACTTTGGCCTCAAAGCAGTTTTATCCACTTGGGTCCCTTTGACATGAACGGGAGGTTCAGAGTTTGTGAACTCCTGGCTCTACCTGTGAGCTGTGGGATCTGTGTGCTCAAAGCGTCTCTGCAGAGAGCAGCACGGAGCTGGGCGTGTTTCTGTCTGTGTGTCAGCCATTTTGTGCTCCAACAGTCGCTGTTATTACAAAGCAGCTTTTGCAATAAATAAGGTTTGATGAAACACCTGAGTGTCTGGGACGGCAAGTGGGCACCATTCTCACCTCACAATCAACAGAAGTTTCATCTAATGAGGAACCAAATGACCAGCATCGGTCTCTTTACATGGGCCCTGGCGCTTCACTCGCTCTCCCCTCCCCCGTCCCTTCTCGGTACCTGTGAACTGCCTCAGCGTCTCCGACAGCGCAGTCGTTTGCCGGGTGAAACCCCTGACTCGCTCGCCCAGTTCTGGAGAAATCTCCTCTGGCGGCTGGAACGGCCCCGTCTCACACCTGGGGAGAGACAACGTCACATGGGGACACTGCACCGAGTGACTCAGTTCCCCAGCTCTGGCCAGTGAGTCGCTGCTCTGCTGGGCCTGGAGTTCAAATCCTTCAGTTCTCCCAGCCCGAGAGCAGGGGCAGCACAGCCCTTGGCCCTGCAACGTCCCCCTCAAAGGTCACATGAACAGTCTGCAGCTCTGGCCTGGGGAAATCAGCTGGGGGACTAAAGGAGAACTGAGTCTCGATGGCCAACTCACTCCTTGGCCTCCAGGCTCTGAGGGACAGGAGGTTCCCAGGGGAAGGGCTGAAGGAATCTGCCCACTAGGAACTAGACAGACACCAGCTCCTCCTCCCCAGCTCTTTCCATGTAGGTCTCCAAACACCCCTCAAGTGGGACACAGGGAAGGGATTTTGGATACATGCGGAATCCTGGCTCCAGGGCCATGGATCCCCTGAGCGAATGGGACTTTGCCATCTCTAATAGCTCTGTGCCTGTGACTCTGCAAAGCACAAGAGTCACGCACATGGCAGCAATGCACACGCAGAATTACACCCAGATCTGACGACTGGACCCCAGCGCTTGTTATTCAAGAGCCTCCCTTCCCTGTGTGGGGAGCTGGGATGTTTCTCCCTCAGTCTCACCTGCAGGAATTCACTCGCTGGCTTCTGACACTTCCCCTCCAGCTCACCAATCAGCTCACTGAGATGGGAAATCTGCTCCGAGAGTTTCCCGACATTGTCAGTCTGGAGCCTCCCAATCTCCTCATCCAGCTTCTCCAGCTGGGCGAAATCCACGTACCTGCTCAGGGTGCTTCTGACGTCCTAGAGGGGAGAGAGAGAAAAGAATCTCAGTCCCCATACACATGGGATCCAGGGAAGGGATTTTTGAAACATGCAGAAGAGAGGCCCCAGGGCCATGGATCCCCTGAGCGAATGGGGCTTTGCCATTTCTAATAGCTCTGTGCCTGTGACTCTGCAAAGCACAAGAGTCACTCACATGGCAGCAATGCACCCGCCGAGTTACACCCAGATCTGACGACTGGACCCCAGCGCTTGTGATTCAGGAGCCTCCCTTCCCTGTGTGGGGAGCTGGGACGTTTCTCCCTCAGTCTCACCTGCAGGAATTCACTGGCTGGCTTCTGACACGTCCCCTCCAGCTCCCCGATTCGCTCGCTGAAGTGGGAAATCTGAGCAGAGAGTTTCCTGACAGTGTCAGTCTGGAGCCTCCCAATCTCCTCACCCAGCTTCTCCAGCCGGGCCAGCAGGAGTCGCTCTTGTTCCTCCAGGAACTGACGCAGCTGCTGAAACTCGGCCACAATCTTCTGCCTCTCGGCTTTTGTCTGGTTTTTTGAAAACAGGGAAAGGGCTGGTCAGGGGCGTGGGCAGAGCCTGAGAACCTGTAATAACATCTGTGGGTACTAGGCTGAGGCGTCCCTCAGGTTCCCCTTTGGCCCCTGTGTCCCTCAGGAAGGGACAATTCCCTGCAGCATGTTCTGTTATTCATGGGCTCTGGGAATTCAGACCCAGAGCAGCAGGGGGCAGGACTCAGCACAAAGGTTTTCTTTAATCGTCTCTATCCAGGTGTGGAAAGATTTTCTATATGCACTGAGGCATATGCAAATGTGCACCACCTAGCTGTGGACATTCTGCTAATTTAGCTGGGCAGCATCTCAATTTCTCCTGCTCTGCCACCCAAGCACTCAGTGTCCTGGGAACACTGCTCACCCCACCCTGACACAGATACCTAGGGAGAGAACAGAAGCAAACCTGTTAGTGCAGCGAAAGAGCAGACCCAGCAGACAGCCCTTCCCAGGGACATGCAGGTCAGTGGGGGAGGATTTCTGGAAAAGCCACAAGGGCTGGACATAAACTCATCCCCTGACATGGCAGCCCAGGGCCTGTCTGCACATGGATCTAACCCAGCAATCCATGGTCATGGAGCAACTCGCCATCCCATCTTCCAAAGGCCACACAGAGGCCTGCCTCTAAACAGCCCCTCCCCCTGCTGGTCCATAGCCACAGGCACCTACCAGATACTCCTGGCTTCTCTCCTCTCCCGTCGCTTTCCATCTCAGCAGCTTTTCTCTCTCTTCCCGCAGGGTCTTCAAATGAGCCTGGATTGTCCCCTGAGGAGACAGAAATTAGTTGGGAGGTTTCACTGTGAGGCTGAGAGGGGTGGGGAACGGGGCGCTTTCCCACCCATAGCCCCAGTGACTGATGGTCCCAGTCGCTGTGTGACATCAGGGCTCCCAAGGAAATTTTATTAATACAGCATGAAAGTGTCTCACAATCTGACCGTTTCCAAGGCAGGTTGAGTCCGTTTAGTAATTAGAAAGAGATCTCAGTTATTAGGCACAGCCCAGAAATGGCCATGATGCACACTGCGGGGAATCAATACGTCTCTGTTTGGGAAGATTTAAATAACTAAGGGTCTGTCTACACTACAGCACTAATTCGAACTAACTTAATTCGAATTAGTTAATTCGAACTAAGCTAATTCGAACTAACGCATCTAGACCTAAAAACTAGTTCGAATTAGCATTTTGCTAATTCGAATTAGCATGTCCACATTGAGTGGACCCTGAACGGAGGTTAAGGCTGGCCGGAAGCAGTGCCGGCAGGGCATCAGGTTAGGACTTAGAGCAGGCATGTCCAAAGTCCGGCCCGCGGGCCAAATGCGGCCCGCGGTCGGATTTAATACGGCCCCCCGCTTCTCCCGGCTCCCCGGTGCTTTTTTTAACTGGCGCGCTCA